ATTCCAGAGCCTCGGTGCCACTGCCATAAAGGCACGATCACCTTTAGATTTTAGTCTGGTTTTAGGCTATCTAAATGCAGTAATGGAAACAGCATAATATAAAAAATGAAGAGATAAATCAGCTAAATTGTGTCAGTTTGTCTAAAGAAGTACAATGTCTGTAAGAAGTACCAATGTTCTCAGATCTCACTTATATTCTCCTGGACCCCTGAGGTACAGTCTGCATATCCTGCTGAATCAAACCCCTACAGATCCACACTACCTCAATCTTTTACCTACGTTACATACTTACCCCTATAAAGCCAAACGTATTATATGTGATACATGAGTTTTTGAGCCCTCCACATGACAGTGTAAAAGATTTTCCCCTGAAAAACCCAATGTATACAATTATATACATGCAGTACATAGATCATCCACCAGGTGGTAGTAATCTGCTCACTAGAGGGCTTTCCAGCCATGCTACAAGACTGCCATAAACTTTGCAGAAGAACTTTGCCAATTTTGAAAACGTTATGGTAAGAAAAAAATGTAATTTTTTTTGTGAAACCTCAATAGGAACAGTTACTGGGTTGATGCAATGTGAAATTACTTAATATTTCATAATCTATGGTTTAGTAAAACTGTGTTAAAAAAGACGTATCAAATTTGATACAGCAGGTGTATAAGGTCATGTAACCATAAATCAGTCAATTGTCATTATATTGTATTTCATGCATTATAAATAAAATCAAGCAACATACAGTCTTTTTGTTTTTCAAGTAAACTAATTAAAATTTTAAATTACATTTCTTGGTCAATTCAGAGCAAAAAAAATTGTATAAGCAAATTGCTGTACCATGATGATTGATGACTAATTGGGTGGTGCAATGGTATGATGGAGAGCAACTTCGATTTACTTACTGATTTTCATTAAAAACTCACCATTTCAAATGAAAAATACACAATAATCTGGTAAAAAAATAGTGTCTAAGATGATTATAGATGGGAATTCAAGTGACATGAAGCAGCTCTGGGAAGACGATGAGGAGGAATGGGGTCATACTGCAAAGATTGGTGAAAGCCCAGATAGTAGTGATGATGAGGAAGAGGAAAACCCAGGTGGTAATGATGATGATGATGAAGGACCAGAAGTCCCAGAAGAGGACACAACACCAAAGCAGTTGGCAAGGGGCAAAGTAAAAAAGAGGGAGTATCGGTTGAGAAGAAAACAATTTGAACCTCCATCTGTAGAGTTTGTGGAATGTGTTGACGAAGACTCTGATGAGAGACTTGACTAGACACCATATATGTATTTCAAAGATTTTGTGAGTGAGGAAATGCTACAGGAAATTGCAGAAGAAACTAACTTGTACAGTGCGGAGGATCCGCTACAGAAGAGACCTGGAAAAACTGCAGCCCAGGCAGAAAGCCCTGCCCCTTCAAAGGTTTCAGGCTTCTGTTGGCACCGCCTTCATAAGCGCAGGAAAGGTCAAAAAGTGTGGCAGACCACTGTCCTCTTGCCAACCCCTCCCCGGAAGAGGAAACCCCCTGAGCTGCCCCTTGATGTGAGAAAAGATGGCCTTCATCATTTCCCAACATGGGCAACCCGACAGAGATGCAAGCACTGTGTAGGCCACCTTGCCCATGTGTACTGTGAGAAATGCAGAGTGCATCTTTGTCTGAACAAGGACAGAAACTGTTTTCAAGCCTACCATCACTCAAAATTAGAAAGTGTGTCAACCGTAAAATGAGTAAAAAAGAACTGAAATGTTATGTCTTCCAGACTTCCACCCTGCCAGTTCCATTGCTGCATTGTTTTTGTTGGATTTGTTTGTGTATTTTTTGTTCAAGAAAAAAAAAATCTTTGAGCATTGTAACCCGCTGTATCAAATATGATACAAATTAAAATTCCTATATGGAAATTGATATTTGATTTTTTTTTTGTTTGTTCAGAAGGACTAATAAAGGCTCCAGTTTCAAAGAACTGGAATTTTCTGTCAATTATTTAACGGTTTGAGCTTTACAGGGTTAAATTCACTTCATCTCTCAAGTGAACAAATCAATTATCAGTTGTTATCAAAAAACTCCTTCTCAATCATTCTGCTTTTTCCCCTCAGACCAACCTGAAAGTTCAACTCGCTTCCTGAAGTTCACCGTTTTCAGATTCTTTGTAAGTGAAATGTTAAACCTTCTCTGTGTCTCCTTTTCCAGCGGCCTACAACTAAGAAAGTGTACAATAAAAATATCCATGAAATGATAGAAAAAATATCTTTTACCATTTCATGCTTTTTCCCTGACAGATTTTGAATGGATCAAGGCATCTGACAAATCTACTTCTCTCACTGATCTACTTCTCTTTAACTGATTATAGTTCTTCACAGAATCAGGAACAGAAATGTCCTTTGAACACCCCTGACACACTTTCTTGACTCTCCTCTGGACAGTTTTTCCACTGAAACTGTCACCTCCCTGGTGTTTCCATTTTACAGACAGAAGTCCATCCTTTTGCAGTCATCTCATGTCTCTTTTTGCAGCTAAATTGAGCAAGGTATTTATCGTCTTTGGGAAGCCAAATTACCTCTGCTGGATGGTGCCACATGTAACATTGTGAATGCATGCCGGTTTGTAGAACAGAACAGGGCTGGTGTAGAAATGATCTACATACAGATGGTAACCATTGCCAAGGCTTAGGCCCTCTTGTTGTACTTTCTCAGTCTTTCCCTCATAGATGGAAAAAGTTCCAAGTGTACCTACAACTGGAATAAGCCAAGACAAACAACTTGTGTCAGAACTTGGAGGGCTATTCCTTAATGTACTGCTGGAATTTGATCCTGGCCTTGCTCACCACCATACTCATCCACACATTACAGAGCAACATGCAATCTGCATTTCATCGTAGAGGCGTCTAATCTGGAGAAGTCGCTCATACTGGGGCGTTCCCTTCTTCTGTTGGTTTTCTTCATCAATGTTGGACAGATTAACACAGTAGAAGATAACCTCAGAGCTTTTTGGGCCATGTATTCTCTTGGAAGCTGAAAGTTGAAAGGTGAATTTGTTCTCCACAAGTCAGCTGTTGATAGAACATGCAAAAATCCACAAAAAATATCAGCTGCTAAAAAAATAACAAAGCTCTTTAGCAGTAAGATGAGTCCACTTGAATTTTTTCCTTGCTAAAGTCAATCATTGTGATTGCCATTTTAATTTCAACTCAGTTTATATATAGAGCCAATTCACAACATCTCTTGTCAAATCACTTTACAGAGATAATTCAATCAGATCACACAGTCAGAATGGTTTAAAGTTTTCTATCTATAGAAACGCTGAACCAATATTACGGTATTATCCGATTGAATACAATTATACAGTGATATTGGCTCAAAGTTTTCTATCTAAGGAAAACCAGCGGATTGCATAAACTCTTGAGCAATTCCTCACACCAAGCATGCATGTTGCGACAGTAGAGAGGAAAACTCCCTTTTAACAAGTAGAAATCTCCAGCAGAACCACGCTCACTGTGAGCGGCCATATGCCAAGGCCAACTGCATTCAAAGGGATAGAAGCAGATATACAGAAAGAAGCAGTATCCTAAAGATAACCTTTTACTAGCTCCACAGGTGGCCCCATCCAGGAAACATAGCCAAGCAAACAAGCTCTGAGCCGGTTCCGATGTCAGAGGATGGAAGAGAGCACATACAGTTAGTCATAGTAAGAGAAATAGGACTACTCTAAAAGAACAGGGCAAGCTACAACATCTGTAAACAAAGGTGTTGATTGCAGCAGCGCAGCTGATAATTTTTCTGCGGGATGGTGTCACAGTCAAACAGTTACAGACCAGATGAAGCTACTATGATGAAAAAAAGCAGAGAGAGCATAAACTTAGAGGTTGAACGAAAAATATTGCAGAATGGGAGAAGAGAGAAAGAATGAAGCAGAATAATAAAAATGGCTCCATATGACCTCCAGCACTCTAAGCCTATAGCAGCATAACTATAGAGATAGCTGAAGATAGCCTGAGCCACTCTAAATATACATTTTATCAAAAAGGCCTTGCCTTAAAAGTAGACAAAAACAACCAAAACTGGTTGTTGGTTCCACAGGAGAGGAGCCTGATAACTAAAAGACCTGCCTCTCTTTCTACTTTTAGAAATTCTAGGAACCACAAATAAACTTGCAGACTGAGAGCAAATTGCTCTGTTAGGGAATAATTTTGTACACACAATTTTTTTATTTTTTATTTGTTAAATAATTTTTCTTAATATCCAATTAATTTCTTTCCACTTCATTATTGTGTCCCACTTGTTGATTCTTCACAAATAATAGTTTTATATGTTATATTTGAATCCTGAAGTGTGGCAACAGAGTAGTAATAATAGTAGTCTACAAACACCCTCAAGCAGGAGAATTGAGCAGGTGAAAGAGACCGTGTAAAAACTTTTATAGTTGGTAAATAGAATAAATTAATATATGAAATAAGAGAAATCCAAATTTTCTGACCAAATTGACTTACTATGAATAGTTTTTTTCTTAATTAGATATTAAAATTTGTTGAAAATGTTTTTTAATGTTGTAATGTCACCACTCTCCACCAGAGGAAGTTGTGGGTCATGCTTAAGCAAAGCCTTACTGGTATTTACAAGAGAAGTACAGTAATACCAGAGAGGGTGCTATGGAATGTATGCTAGAGCTTGACATGAATCGATTCAGAGGCCAGTCTGGAATATTTATTTTGTTCAATGGCAACAAGATTCAGAATGTTCTTTATGCTGATCTGTTTGTAAATGCAAACACTCAATATCCTCAACTTTTTTCATAAATAGCCATGCTGTACCATTGACAACTATAAAGCACAAGAGCACAGACCTCTGCCATTCCACTCAGTTCCCTACTGTATATGAGTTTTAAAGAACCGCTTTAAATATTTCTATTCATTATCAAAATAAAATGATCTCCGAGTTGTGCTAAGACACACCTGGAGTAAAAATTTCAGAGGGGTCCATCTATAATTTATTTTTTCATAATCTTGTAAACCAATCAACACACAAACCACTGTTACAAAAAGCATTAGCTCCTTGGTGGAGGTAATAATGGAAAGATACATGACCTGTTACAGCATTCAGTCAGATATCTACATGCTATTCGGCTGAGTACATGTAGGTGTAGATACCCCACTACACGTGTATCCACCTCCTGAAATCAACATGGCCATTCGGTAGGGTAATAAGATAGAGCTGTGACCAAATAAGGTATTATTTGGCAAAACTGACTTTTCTTTATCTCCCCTCTTACCCTTAGGCATATTAAGCATACCCTATTAAGCAATAGGGCTGGGTATTTTTGCTAAAGTCCTGAATCGATTCGATTTTGATTCATGCAGTTATAAATCGATTAATTTCGATTCAATCTGTTTTAACAATAATGAAAATGGTTCAACTGTGTTTCAAAAATACTCATGTATTTTGTCTGTCTAATAAGTGCAAACTTGTTTGTGAAAAGTGACAAAGTGAAGCCTCACTCGAGCAAGCAGACGTGACACAGCAGACATTCATGAGCTGCATTATTTTCAATGCACAAACCATTTTTGCAGCGTTGTCTGTAACAACTACAGGGTGTTTGCTGGTCAGCCCCCATTTGTTAATGTCTTCATTCAGGCTATTGGTATATTTGCAGCTGTCTGGCTTAAAGTAATTTTGAGTGCATCTTTCCTGCTTATTTGAATGTGAACGCCAAGCGGGTCAACAAAAATGTAAAGGAATCTATTCAAAATCGATTGAATTGATTTTTTTTACCCAGCCCTATTAAGCACAACAGGGAGGAGAAATACGTCCTCATCACATTTGCTCTGAGAGATGAGTTCTCTAAACACATGCATTTATCATGCAATACATAATTCACAACACAAAACGGATTAAAGACAGGAAACAGTACTGTGTTTAGACACTGCATAGTCAGATAAAAGTTTATTCACACAATTCTCTCATATAAAAACAAAGCAAGTTCACATCAAAGCATTTAGTATGGATTTATGATATACAACCACATCTCACATAAGGCATTACCCATAAAGCATAATAAAAAAAGAGGTTTAAAATTGTATCTATGAAATTAAAAAAAAAGGAAGAAAAAAACTCTAAAATGTCAAGTTACCCCATTTCTTTGGCACATATCTTTCAATGTCAAAGTTGGCTTGCCTTAATCAAATGAAGGGCCATTGCATATGATGCAAATCACAATAGAAGCTCACAAATCATTGTTATAACAGTTACTGTCAGGAAGGCACGCCATGCGCGGCTGTTGGAAAAGCAACTGCAGAATGGCAGTCCTGGCAACTAAAGCTAAATTTAGCAGATCTGTAGTCTATATTTTATTTATCTATGTGAAAGTGATTGATAAATGATACACAAAACATTACGCTTCAGGTTTGAATGGTATCGATAAACATGATGCACTAGGTTTTTTTGTCCTTTTGAAAGATAACACTGACCCCCATCTTAAGCCTTTTTTTAGCCTCCCTTACTGTCCTTCACAGAGCAATGATGCTTCTGCTGCCATGGTGAACTGTATAAAGTTCCAGCTGGGGACTTTTTGGATGACAGTTTTACCTTATTCAGGTCTGAGTAGTAATCAGCAGATTATATAATAAAAATGTATCTTTCCCTTTTCAATTAAATCCCTAGAAATGAAGACCTCCCATCATTTTTGGTCTTTAAAGCCTTTTACCAATAGCACTTAGTTTCATGCACTTTTGGGATGGTTAAATAAAACTTCTAAATCAACAAGACAAAAACAGGGATATTTACAGTAATACACTGTCAACTTCTGATGCATTCATTTTCAGTTAAACTCAAAAATAACACCTCAACCAAAAGAATCACAACAGTATTTTCTCCTATTCGTTATTGACCTAAAGGGGGGAAAAAATATTTGTCAAATCAGAATTATATATTACCCATAAAGCTGTTTACTTAAGTATAATCAATAGTATGTTTTAGCAACATTAGGAATAAATGCTGCTTTACTCCTTGAAAAAAAAGGTAAAATATTTATTTTTCCCTAATCAAACTTATTGTACAAAGATTTACATACCAACTCAAGGCTGGTCCTCCTTAATACTTTAAAAGAAACATTTATAATATTATTTCTGCCAATTTATCCTTTCAAAAGATATCCGACACAGGATCAATGTAAAAAATCTTCCTTACAGTCCACTCAGCTCCTGGTATTTATGATTCCCGATCGCAACATAAACATAGCTAATTAAAATGGTGTTGGTTCAGTTTTCCTTTCTGGTAATGTCTGTTTGAGTCTTTCCCCTCAGGTCTGTTTCTTAATTTAAAATCTAAATTTAATTTAAAAACTGTGACAAATGTGGCACACAAATTTGCTGCCAGAAAATAAGCTGAATTTAGTTGAATACATAAAACAAAAAATATATTAGATCTTTTTTTTTTTTTTTTTTTTTTTTATACCATACATAATTTAAAAAAAAAAAGTGTTTAAAAGGCCAAGGAAAACGTTAAAAAAGTTAAACTAAACAACCAGTGACTGGTAAAGTCTTCCCAAATTGAACAAGTTACATTCTTTCTGTAGTGTATTCACCAGTGCCATATTGCATGAATACATGAGAGAACAACAGGCAGGAAAGAGAAACTTTTAGAAAAGGTTAAAATCTTGAGTCTGTGGAGTTCCTGTGGAACGTTGGCAACCAAATAAAGTGCTTAGAGTCATTGTTTCAAAAGCTGGGCTCCACAAAACAGTATGCTACTCTGACTAATGAAGACATTACACTCAAAGAGACTTGGCTGGAATTAAAATGTTACATCTTCACCATTTTTAGCCCTCTGCTGTTCCCTGCTGCTGCTCCTCACATCATCCTGGTCTTTAAATGTTTGTTTCCCTTTTGATCCAATCTCTGAGCTTGGTGACGCGGGAGTAGACTCCAGGCTTATCCCGACGTGCACAGCCCACACCCCAGCTCACAATGCCAGCTTGAAACCACTTCCCGCTTTCCTCGAAACAAACCAGGGGCCCTCCAGAGTCTCCCTAGAAAGCATAACATGTATCAGTGTAAAATAATTAGATTGGGTATGGATGTGAGGGCACAGTGATTACAGAGATATGAAAATGGATTTTTCTATTTTTTAAATGTTTTCTATGGAAAATTTTGCTTCATCTCACCTGGCATGCATCAACTCCTCCTGCCAGGAATCCGCTGCAGAACATCCTGGATGTAAGCCGCCCACCCAAGACCTCATTGCATATGTTATCATTGATGATTTTCACAGATGCCTTCTGCAGGACGATCTGCACACCACCTTGGTGAGCAGAAACAGAGAGGTCATCAGCTCTTACCATGTTACCCTCTCTTAATTTCCAAAGCTAAGTTAAAAGGCCTTAATGTCCTAGATTAGAGGGAGCTAACAAAGCTTAGGGGACTTTCTAAGAGCGAGAGTCCATGTTGAGTTAAAGATTGGAAAGGAAACTTAAGTGACTCAAGAATCAGGAGGTTTGATTTTGAGACCATTATTAAAGTTTTTTGTTTTTTTCCTTTATCCTTTTGACAAACACATGCAGCTCAAAATGTAATATATATGACACCGACATTAGTTTAAAGAAATTTTCAAAAAGAAGAATGTACATTATTAGTAGACATCCATAAACTATAACCCTCTAAAGAAAAAAAAAAAGAAAACACAAAAACATATTAGATATTAAAAAAACGAGTCTTTCAAACAAAAGTATGCACATGAAAATGTAGCATGTAGTATGTAGAAAAAGTCTAACTTGTGCTAAAAGAGACAATGGTGGCGGGATGTGGTGGCCTAGTGGTTAGGCCGTAGGGCTTGGAATCCTGAGTCTGCGACAGTCCCACAGACTGCCACTCTGGGTGTCTGAGCAAAGAGCCTCAACCTCAAACTGCTCCCTGGGCACCGCAAATGGCAGCCCACTGCTCCGCAAGGGGATGGGTTAAATGCAGAGAGTGAATTTTGTTGCACTGTACTTGTGACAGGTATGGACAATAAAAACACAGGAATTATGGGGGACAACTGAGTCACTTGTCCTTACCTCCACCTATGTCCAGAAGCATTTTTTTTTTTTTACCTTTTAATGTTTGCAAAGAAATCCAGTTTTATATGTAAAGGTATAGTGGAGGATGTTCTTTTTCCATCATCAAAATAAGTGGTCCTAATTGTCAATCATTCTGGTAATATGTTTATGTAAGGCCATTCTACATGCTCATTCTCAGTTAGCTGCCTTTTGCGCATGCGCACTTTTATGTGGTGAGCTATGGTTTCAGCCAGTCACTGAAGCTTGCCTCGCTCACCGCGGTTCTTTGAAAATTGCGTATGAGAAGAAGAGAAAGGCCTCAGAAGAGAGAAACAGGACCACAGTGTTTTAGGAAGATTCTTAATGCGATGGCATACTCTGAAATAACAGGCCGGGCTTTCCACTGATGCCTCGGTTGCCAAATTTTTAATCGACAGGTTAACATTTTCACTGCAGCACACACACACATACAAGAATGTCATGATGTTTTAATGTACCAGTAGTCTTATTTGCGGGGAAACTGTTTATGTATAAATATGGATAAGATGAAATCCATCCAAGCGACCATCTTATTGCATCCCTGCACCTCATGGAGGAGAAATGGGCTCTCACACGGGTTTAATAGGCTTTCACTCTCGGGAGCGGGTAGAGTAATGGTCATTTAACTAACGACCATTACTTATTATTACACTTGATTTGAATGACATATTAATTAACTACAAGCTCCAGTTCTAATTATTAATAGGTTCATAATCTGCTGGTAAAGTTGCACAACACATCTCGCCAAGATTATAATTAGGACAGATAAGATTAGGAGGCAGCAGCAAAGTATTTCATGTTAGAAGGCCGGGAAAAGAAACGGGGGCAAAATAATAGTATGCACAAGTGTATACACAATTTTGTTTACACTTGTGTGTACAAAATGACAATAAAATCTGTCTAAGTCTAAAAAGTCCAGAAAGAAGTGAGATGGAGATGAAAAATATAAACTAGGAAGTGCAACAAAGACAAAGATAATAACTACTTTTTAAAGGTACAATAATAACTAGAACAAGGACTATCACCATAAATCAGATGATTAAAGCCAAATACCTCCTTCCCGTGCTGCGCCCCAGCCTGTGATCCAGCAGGACATTCCCGGAGGAAAGACGTGAGAGGATGAGGGGAGGCAGATTGGTTGGATGGTGTTGCTGAACTCCAGAGGCTCATTGAGCTCTAGCAGAGCAATGTCGTAGTCAAAGGTCATCGAGTTGTAAAATTCATGGATGATTATCCTCTTCAATTTACGCATCTGAGCTTCCTCCGGATTGAACTGAGAATGCAAACCACTGTAAGTAACCCAGTTGTTTGCGAGACCATGCCTGTAGAAACAGAGAAATTAAGATTATTTTATTATAGTGCCTTGTAAAAATATTAATCTTCTTTATAAATTCTAAACATTCTGTCTCAACTCTCTACCCAAGTTTTAAATATTAGGCAGCGTAACAAGACAGCAGATTTTTTTTCTTTCCTTGGATTTGTCCACAACTGACCTGTGTGCTGTGTTACTTGATATTTAAGAAGATATTCTTAAACTTAAAAAACCTCAGATCTTTATAGAAAAACTTGAACAAAGGCCTCATGTATAAAACGTTGCCGAGCAAAAAAAAGAAAAGAAAAAAACATGCAGCCATTGTTAAAAAATGTTAACAATTTGATCCATTCTAGCTTCCTCAACACCCTTTGTGAGGATGAATCCAGTTTCCTAACAGAAACCATGGAGTAATATGGCTAACAGGAGAAAAACAAAGTCTGCGCCGGCACAGAATCCACCAATATATGACTGTATACTAGGAGCGATCCTTCATCTCCCAACTAACATAGTCACTAATTCAAGGAGGGAGCCCCGCTCGTAGCATTAATACTGTCAAGCTCTGTATATTGGCCTGAGGAATCATTTAAAAAAACTCATATGCATCAACTTTTTCAGTCACAAAGTCCACGACTTGTCTGGAATACAGATAAATTAATGTTAAATATAAGGTATATTCTCAAAAGGTTTTGGTGGCTTCAAGAAAGCTGTTTTTATTTAGTCCTGGAAGCACTGCTCGTCCTCACCTCCAGCACAGACCCCAGTCTGTCACTGCCCACTGCCCAGCATTGGTGCTTTCTGCATGGGTAGATTTACAGAAAGTCCCGCCAAGTCTGAAATTCATCCAGACACAACTCTAGATGACCCAAAGTGACTCCTTTTTTCAGAGCTTTTTTTGGCACTATAAATTGATTGTCTCTCCAAGGTGATTCAACAGTTGTTCATAGGGAACAATTTAGCATTAGTGATGTTAAGTTTCACCTGTGCTTTTATTGTGAAATACCAGCAGCAAGACCTTGGCAGGAAATTACATGCGTTTACAGGGAAAATGAAGGGTCTGGGAGGTAAACCTGCCCACTGCTATATTCAATACCAGCACAGGAATGACATGTGATGTGATGCAATGACTTTGAATTAGGAACAAGCACAGCACTACCGTCATTTGAGATGGTGACGACATCAACAAAACCAAATCAGTACAAACAATACTGTAGTTTTACCTGCACAAATGAAGGAGCAGTGAAAAATTAGGCTAAATTAATTCAATTCAATTCGGAGCTTAATGGTGGGATAGTTGATCTCTAGGTGACCTAAAAAATAATCCTTAATATCTTAGAAACAGTTGCAAACACAATCTTTTAAAAAAATTTTTTTTCATTTTTACAAATTACCATTTAAAATGCACAAACCTGCACTAAAGAAGTAATAACCATTCAGCCAATTAGTATTTTCACGTCAGTGGGGTGTCAGCTTCACACAGCTGAAACTCCTCCTATCTGATGATGCAGTCCAGGATGTAAACACTGTGCATCTGAAATGCAGGGCGATGAACTCCCCGTGGTGCTCGCAAAAATCACCTTGGCCATGGTGGCCGGCCTGAATACAATATTTCTATTTGTTTTGTTCATGCCATTAAGTGTAAGAGATCCGTTACTCACTCGTTAGAAAATCTGAAACAGTGAGCTGCAGACAAGAGCCACCTATCCGAGATGACTGAGGCGCCACAAGCATGGCCAGATGTCCGGTAGTGAAGGCTGACCTGCCAGGGCCACTCTCCAGTGTCTGCGTTCTGCCCTCCTACGATGCGGTTCAGCTTGTAAGGCCTGGTGCCGCAGTCTTGAATTCAACAGAGATTTGTTACAGAGAAGAAATTCAAAACAGCAAATAATGAGAATACATTAACAGAACATTGACAGATGCCAGTCATTGCCGTCACTGCTCTTGTTCATTAAAATATAATAATACACCTTTAGGCTTAAACATAGGAGATGTAAAATCAAAATATGAAACATGATGCATTTCTCAAGGAAAATTCGAAATAAATTCCCATGGGCTGGGGCTGTTTTTCCTAACAAACAGCCCAACATGCTGCATGACTAAGCAACTATAATCAGTATCACTGACAAGATTAGAGTCAGCTTTGGCAGTCTAAAACAGAAAAAAGAACCCCGGATTGAAAGAACAAGAGATTTTGAGAAATATCTCACCACAGATAGCTTCATCTGAATTATCAGAGCAGTCACTGACACGGTCACATTCAGCATTCACCTTGTTGATGCATTGCCCGCTGGTGCATTTAAAGCTGTAGTCAGAGCACATATTTGGAGCTGCAAAAGGCGGTGAAAAGATAGTGAAAACAAATGTTTAACAGGGCAAATACTGTGCAATCAATGAGAAGTAAATGTGAGGCTCCAATTCAAAATGAGAAGTGATTGAGGAGCAGATTAAAGTGAGCATTGACTGAGATTAAGGCTTAATATGCCCCCTTATTCACAGAAGTGAAAATTTGAAGAAAATTCAAGGAATAAATAAAAAAAAAGAGCACAAAGAAAAAATACTTTGAACTAAGATAGCCCAAAGCGATACATCTCTGTTAAATCCAACAAAACGCTGAGGCTGTACTGTAATTTTTATCAATCTGAAAAAATCATCTTGTAGCAGAAAAAAAAACTGGTTATCCACTTACAGCTTTCGCATGAGGCCTCATCACTTCCATCCTCACAGTCCTTCAAATTATTGCAGATAACGTCTTGGGGAAGACAAACCCCGTTTCCACATTTCCACTCATTTGGCTCACAACCGGCTGTTAAAAAATCAAGTTTAAACGGAAATTATATTGACAGAAAGACAGCAGGCTTGCAGCAAATACATTTTTCAGCATCCATATTCACTTTTCTTGCAAGTATTTTAGGATTTAAAGTGAGATATCTCTGCAGCTAGCCCAAGGATCAGTGACCATACCACATCAACACTAAACATTAGCTTGCTATTGATAATGTAAATCCCTTTATTGTTCCACAATGAGGAAATTTGTTCTCTGCATTTTGACCCACCCCTTGGGGAGCAGTGGGCTGCCATTGTGTGGCACCCAGGCAGCAATAAGGGCTTAAGGGTTTTGCACAGGAACCCAGAGTGGAGGATAAATAGCACTATATTTATCAACATGTAAATTGTTGATCTTTCATTTCAGCTATGTGATAAAATCCCTGTTTGATAGAGAAAGACAAAAGGCCAAAAGCAATGTGGACAACAGTACCAAGACCATATTAGATTCCTTGGTGTATTAGTCGCTTGGTGCTGGCCATGATTAGGCTTTAGAATGAGGTCAGTATGCAACTGCTTTTAGAAATGATCAGAGGCAGTTACAAAGGTACCAAATAGCCATGACTCATTCCTAACCCGAAACTGCTCCTATAAACCACAGACTTTTGCTCAGTTTTTCTGAAGCTATTTCCAGTCAGTTGCTATGACCTAGATAACTGAGAATGTACAGCCATGCTGCTCTAATGTTACTCTAAGCTGAATTCACTACTAGACTTACAGTCGGCTCCACAATGAAACTTTCTGGTTTCAACAAGGACATTTTGTTCAAACTCAAACTAAATGATGGGTGCAGCTAGTGGCTAAGAAAACAATACGACACTTGGTAATAAACTTACAATCACACATAAATTATTTACAATGTATTTGTAACATGAAATTTATTATTTTTGGAAAAACTTCTCAATGCCAACCCCTGGTTCAGTCCGCCTGCTTCACCTCCATCATATAGCCACAGACAACGTTTCATAAACAAAGCAGAGACGGCGAATCAGTGATGTCTGGTAGAGAAGCTGATGTCTAAGAAGACATCCAGTAATGGGAAAGAACTGATTTTTATCTTATAAGCAATTGATAAAAACTCATTGTAATTTAAGAACTAGTTTGAGAATCCCCTTATAGTGATGTTAACATAGCCAGGTGTCAAAGTCAGGACCATAAAATAACTCTGGAACACTGAGGAGAGTAGCATTACTTACTGCAGTGTTTCTCATCACTTCCATCTCCACAGTCGTTCACCCGATCGCAACGCCACATTTTTGGCTTGCATAAACCATTACTGCAGGAAAACTGTTCTTCTGCACAACCTGAAAGAAAATAAATTTCCATAAAAAAACAAATGAACATGAACAAATATATACAAATCTGCATTGACAACAAATAAAAACCATTATGGTCAGTTATTACTTTTCTGACAAGTAAAAATTTAATAGTTTTATAAAATATCAAGGTGCCTGAATTAGACATAAAGGCCAAAAAGAGTAGTTGCTTACAGAGATTACAAAGGATTATAGAAAAGCTTGGTCATATCATTGTCAGACGTGTTAAATTTTAAGATTCCTGGAAGTACAAAAGTATGCATTACATTTGGTAAAGTAAACCTAATTGCTTAACCATAACAACTGAATAATTTATTGGAGGCTTTCATTTTTCTAAGGAGATAAATGTCTATATTTTGGTAATTGAAACCATAAGTTGTGTTTCTGAAGTTTTTGTCAAATGCTGTCTTTGTGACCTAAAGAGTTGACACATATGAGTTATTTTAAATGATTCCTCAGGCCAATATGCAGCGCTTGACACTATCAATGCTCGAGCAGGCCTCCCCTCTTGAAATACCATCTATGAAAGTTGGGAGAAGACGCACTGTTGTTATGTGACCTGGAAGAATATATCGCCGAACCTAGAAGCCTAGCGTGGACCCCAATCAAAAGACATGCAAGGCTGGCCGGCTGAGTGTTTGGTGACTTTTGCGACAGGTATAGCACCCCCTAGTGGTCAAAATTTACATGGTGTGTCCTTAAATTAAGCCTATACTTGCGTGAAACCTAGAGGGTTGCTTTAAGGAGCGAAATAATCTTGCACAATCAACTTACTGCAGCTCTTCTCATCGCTCAAGTCGCCGCAGTCATTCCAGCCATCACACTTTAGTTTTTTTTCGATGCACATGCCATTTCTGCAGGCAAACTTGCCAGGACAAGCTGATCACATGCACAAAAGATAAGATCATAGACAAAAGTGATACAGTCAGTGAGATGAAAGCAACAATGTGTGTACAGCATGTATCAAAAAACAGATCAAACAGAGCTGATGTCAGACAGAAGAGATACTCTTGTCTAACAGCTGCAAATAAAACATAAATACTACAACCATTTGCTCATTAGTCTAACTCCTTTATTTCACTCCTAAGGTTTTCAAGTGGGGATAAATAAACTGTTTTTCCTTGACAGTCCATCCTTTTGTCTTTCAAAGCAAAAAAATTACTACCCATGAAGGCGCTGGCCAATAAAAAATAAGAATTAACTTACGGTCATTAGGATCAAATTCATTGTACTGTGCAAAAAAGCCTTTGTCGGTATAGGACTCATCGGAGTGGAACTTCACCTCAAGAATGTTGGACTCACTGGTCAGAGCCAACGACGATAGTTCTCCACAATATCTGAAACACAGAACCAATAAATTTAAAATGTGACTGGGTTTTAGTACATAATGTGAGGTGACAGAATGTTTGTATTCAGGCAGTGTTTTAGGTTACTCAGTAAAATAATATGACCAGACAGTCAGTTGAACAAGTAGTATTAAATAGGAAGAAATGTAAAACTAACAAACATCTTTTAAAATCCAAATTAAGGGCACTAAAAACTACAATGTCCTACGATGTGTTTGACTCCTAATTAGGCAAAGTGCAAAAATGTATTTCAGGCTCAAAACAGAGTAAGTAAACCATATTAGGACAAAACCTGTGGCGTATACTATTTTATTAAATGATAAACAGATAGTTGGGCTTTTTTTGAGATATATATATATATATATATATATATATATATATATATATATATATATATATATATATATATATATATATATATGTGTGTGTGATGTTACAGTCCGAATCTATATATTTTTAGTGAGTTAAATTCAGTTGTTTATGTAATATAAGCAAGAGCTAATTACATTACCATGTCTATGGCATTTTCAATGTAAATTAGCATTGTGCTGTCCGCTAGCCTACATGAAGTTTTTCTTCTTGCTTTTAGCTCATTTAAGCTATTTGTTTCTCATTAGTGATGTGTAAAGCATATATTGTCATCGCAGGTAGATGTCCACAGTGAGACATAATCTAAAAAAAAAAATATCACAATATACGATTTTTTAAACTATTTATTTGTATGATACAGCTGCAAAGTAGACATAATCTAAAAACAAAAAGCATACTTTATTTTAGATTATGTCTCTCACATTGGACATGCACCTACGATGAAAGATTCAGACCCCCCCCATAATTCAATTATACTTTAAACTTGAAATTGGGATGGATTCTTACCGTTTCCCCATAATTTCCACATAGTCCTTATGACATTTTCTAACATCTACATCAGGCTCCTTCATGCGGAACATCTTGAAAGTCACACGTACTTTTTTCCCTTGAGAGACCTGTTGCAAAAAATTTAAATCAAATACAGGTGAATCATTTGTAAAATTTCTGACCAAGCATTTTACCCAAATGCACAGGGAGCATGCCTATACATCAGTGTGCACCCATTATCAGAGCATGCAGAAGTCTTGAATTTTTATCATAACAACTCTGTGAACTTTCAGTGACACATGTATACAAAAATTGCACTGATTTGTTAGTAACCTCCTTATTTTGGATGACATGCATTATATACATCAGGAAAAAAAATGCAATATTTCTGCACTGTATTCTTTCTTTGCAGTTAGAAATATCACACACTTCTTGTAGTTCTTGACAAGGTTTGAACATGCTGCAGCAGGAGTTTTCTTACCACTCCTCTACACAGATTTTCTCTAAAGGTCTGATTTATAAAACAGTACATAAAATCTAATTTGTTGTACAGTGTGAGCGGTAGCTGCATGCAATGACTGAAAAAAAAAAATAGCACAGTGCATGCCCGGCTTAAGACTTTTCCCGGGATCACAATGTCACAGGATCGGCTTAATGCCCTGGCCATGCTCTCTATGGAGAAGAACCTAACCAAAACCATCCTTACGTCAACCAGTCATTGAGAAATTTGCTTCTCTCAAGGATAGAAGGGCAAAATTTAAGTACAAAAAGTAAACCTG